TTTTTTATACTAGAACAAAATGAAAATATTTCTTACCTACTATAAACAATAGTAGAAGGCCATTCTTCAATGATTATGTCCGAGTCAAAAGGATGAGGTGGCTCATCCTGCAGCACTTCAGGCAGGTAGTACGCTACTGTCACTGACTGTGTCATCTCCGATTGAGATTCATTCGTATGGACTATGGTCACAATGGGTATTGTTATCCCCAAGTACAGTCCTGAGGAGACATATGTGACTTTTAGAAAATATAAAAGGAGGCCTACGTAGTGTGCTTGACTTCTGAACTCATGCTGAATAATACAAAGTGAGTACTACAGAGCAGAAAGTGTCATTACTAAAAGGATTTCCGCAAGGTGTTTTAGAAAATGGGGTTGTGTATTCCAAGTGGAAGTAGCATTTTATCATGCCTTGTCGTTTGTGTATGTGAGTATCTCGCTCTCTCTCCCCCCCCTCCCTTCCTCCCTCCTTCTCTCTCTCTCTCTGCAAATATGTGTGCACGTGTGTCTGAAATGTGGTATTTGGTGAGCTCCCTTATCTTCATGTAGGGCAAGGCGTTTGATTTAACTTCTTTCTCCCTGTTTATCTTGTAAACTGACCTTGTGTCATGTTTTAAATATTTGAGAAAGAAGAATGTAGGCAAGGTAAGGGGGCTGCATTGTGAGTTAATTTAGGATTTGCAGTTATCGAAGTCGTTGCTATATTTTTGCGATGTTCTAGGAAAAAGTTGACTGTTTTGACAGTGCACGTAGCAGTGATGACTAGGAGTGGGAACTTTGCTTCTGTACATAGTTTGAAAACAGAATGGCACTGTTCTGGAGCCAAAATTACTTTTAAACCATGTTCAAGTGTTAAAAGAATGGGGAAAGTGGGGAAAAATACCTGATTAAGGAAAAGCTTTCATGATCAATGTTTTTAGTTTCTTGGAAAGAAAATTAAGGGTTGACTTGATTACAACACAAGTACTATTACAGAACAAAACATTAGGCATTGCAATACTTCTTAATCAACTGGAGAATCTAAAAAATGAGGACTGATGGCTGGAAGTTGAAACCAGCTTAAATTGGATTGAAAACTAAGTGCACATTTTTCATGCAGGCACAGGCTATCAAGGACGTGGTGGACTTGCCATTATTTTTAAGAACTTGAATTAAAACTGGATTATCTTTCTGGAAAACATGCTTCGGCCACACAAATTTTTGGTGGCCATTCAGACATGCACAAATTGAGTATTATGAACTAAAATGACAGAGGCAAAACATTATGGTCTCTTTTGGCATTACACTCTGAATAGGTTCTTAGAATAGGCGATTTCAGTACTGCTGTGAAAACTAAGCCAGTAAAGTTCTGTTGCAGAAGCCTAATTTATAGCTGACAGCCTACAAAACCAGACAGTGTCAGTTCCCAGGCAGCTGTAGTGGTCACAATGACCTTGGAAAGAGCAATCGCTTCCCGCAGATGGTCTCTTCTAGCATCTGTGCAGAGGGAGCAGCGCTTTGGCTCAGACTCTGCTGGAAAGGCTGTGTTGCAGGAAAATGTCCCAAAAGACAGGGTGGAGTATTTGGAAAAAGCTAATAAAACTGTGTCCCCAATTAGGAGGAGCTAGTGCATAAATGTAATGTTTTAACTTTAATGTAGAATTGTGGTACCAATTACCTGAGGAATTCTGCTCACAAATGTACCTCATAAGCTTCATGAATCCAAGGCATATGCTCTGTTCATACTGTTTTTCTTTCATTTTTATACAAGCCCATTTGGCTTTCCCATACTGACGTTTTTCATAAAGCAGATCTCCAAGCTGCAAACACAGTAAGATCATAATTTTGTATTTTAAGTTAATCACCTAAACAAACCCAAGGAAACAAATAATAGTCAAACAATATTTCAGTGATTTACTTGTAGCATAAAGAAACCAACTTCTTTAGGTGTATGACCAGGAGAACGGCAAGCACGAGGAATGATTTTAAGTCTCAGTGTCAGCTATACCTTAAGTGCATTCTGTTTAATACTTAGTTCATGTGCACTTAATTTCAAGGTCCAAGATGGCATATTATAAGTAGATATCCAAACCCAATGCAGTGTATGCATCTTACTTGAGTAGAAGAATAATTGCATATTTTTTCGACTGTCAGTGAAATGATCTTGAAATGAACATGTGAATTTTAAACCTTCCTAATATAAATCAAGAAGGGATATGCTGCTGATTGTGGACCAAAATTTGTTTCAGCAGACTTCTAGGTAGCTCTCCTTTAACATAAGGGGCTGTCATCTTTTGGACTTGCAGTATGAAACATTTAGTTGCAATTAACGCTGAATAACCTTATTTTTTTATCTGCAGTTATTACAGTAGCACTGATAAATTGCTTTCAAGCATTTGATTACAACATAAATAGTCAGGAGTCCCAAACTCAATCAAATTGTGATATTCATAAATTATGAATTATGTTTAAAAGAAATGTGACAAGAAATCTTCATACATGGTTCATTAAAGATTTTCTTGATTTGTCATGTATTTAAGGTTAGACACTTGTTTGCACATTTCCTGAGCTGTAAACAATTTCCTGCGCATCAATTCCAGTTTTTCATTAGAGGATAATATGGTTTTGATATGATGGGTTTGCAAATTGCTGCTTAGTTTGATAAAGACCCAAGATACAAAAGTACATATTTGGTTTTAATTTCAGATATTAATCTCTTTCAAGTATTCTTTGCTAAGGTTTTATTAACGTGATTGTGTAAAGAAGGAAATGCATTGATTTAAATGAAGGCAATAGGCATTTTATTTCAAATGTCAAAATATGAGGGTTTTTTTGTTAAATTAATTCTAAAATGTCAAAGACTAATTCCTGGCCATCTCCTGAATTTCCTGATAGTTTCTACCTTACAGAAAAGAAAAATTCACGCATGTAAAAATGGTGAGATGTTAACAATTAAATGTAGTTATCAAGTTAAAATGCTTTGCGCTTATGACGTTAAAAATCCTAAATTGTTAAAATAATTTTATAAAGAAATGTATTTTTGTGAGCTAGGCATGAATACTGAAAACACTGTTAAAACCTCAGCTGGGGAGGGAAGCGGTACCTTTTCTTTGCGCTGGATCAGAGTGAATGGGATGGTCTGTCTCTCCTGGGGATTGTTGTTCCTCGTCAGCTGCTGAATCGGCTCTGCCATGTCTGCAACAAAATAATACATTTCCAGTTTTAGAGGGGAAGCTGTAGAAATAAGAATGAAATGTGTCTCATTCTGCTTTCTCTTAGTTAAACTTCTCCTGACTTTGTGTTTGTAACAAGTTTAGTTTGTGCTCTGGGAGTGTTAGAGCTGAAACTGA